TAAGCCAGCAAATTATGCAATCAAACCAAATGGATTCAGGCAATGCTGCTTGCAATCTGCCTGACAGAAATGAGGACAATGAGTATAAACTCATGGTCAGTTATAAGCTCAGCATAAACTGTTGAGTATTACTCAACATCAGCAAATATTACATATGGTTTCTGATAAATACATATAGTAAATAAACATGATCTTGTCTTCCTCACATAGTATGTCCAACAACCACTGCTCATTGTCTGAACAGGCAAAACACAGTGTATGAACAGGCAAAGTGCAGAGCATTCCCTACACCTTAATGCTCCCCAGCATCCTCCTGTCACTCTAAAACTCTGCTTCTGCTGAGATACTGTAGGACAGAAAGTAGGAAAGTTGAGTTTTCTGAAGGAAATGCTAAGGTTCTGACAAAAATGATCCTCAACTTTTGATTTCATAAAGTGAAAAAGAAATCAGACTTGGGGAAAAAAAAACAGTTGAAAATTTTCTTGCGGATTTTTTCCCAAACAGTTTTATTAATTACACCTTCTCAGCAGGTTAAACCAGCAGGCTATTAAAATTGCTGCAAGCCAGAGTAGGTAAGCAGCAGCGTGGGTCTCAGCCTAGTAAGATTAATGTCCTGTGCTCCTCAGAAGACAACACTTCAGCTATAGCAGCAATTCTTCCCACTTTTTTTTAGTTTCAGTCTCTCTCTCTTTTGTATCTCTGAACCGTTTGCGATTGCAGTTTGCTTCAGGATAAGACTGGATCTTTGTCAAAATCAGTTAAATGACAGACAAATCAGAGAGGAAAATGAAAAGGAAAACGTTCGATAAGTGATTCTGACCTCAGCTTGTAAGTGGATTTGAGTTCATTTTGTCAGGTAAACCCTCAGTACCACTTTCCAGCACAAGAGCTCAGTGATGCATTGCATGGTGTGATCAAATACTTCTTCCCTGATTCTGAAGCCAGTCTTTCTTCTACAGTCTGGTGAATGATAGTGGTAATACTGCAAATGCATCAGTTGTGAGCAGACCTCTCCTCTTCTCTAGCCTTCCTGTCATTGCCTCCTCTTCTGCATCTCCATTAGAAGAATGGAGAATGAGAATTATGAAGAAAAATGGAATTTGTTCCAAAATTTTGAGCGGCTTCTCATTCCAATCCCAATGCCTTCAACAAGTTCTGTCCTTTGACAAAGGCTGAGTGTGCTCTGTTCCAGTCCCTTCTGAAATGAGATGATAGATGCACCTACATAGCATTTTAGTGCAGCCCAGGACTGTGCTTGCAAAGTAAATTATTTGATTATTCCCACTTACTGCACTTTGGTTCACATCTCAGAGCAGACTCAGAGTACATAAACATGATTCCTTTCATATGAAACTAACTTGAAAAATGTCCCTCAGCAGCACACTGAACATGCTCCAACTGCTAATGAGCATCCAGTCTAGTGGACCAGGTTAGTACATTTCTTAATGGGATAAAAAAAACCCAAACAACAAATGTATATGGCATGGATATTAGGTCCTCAGCAACAGCAGTTTTGCTCTACACATCAGCCTCTGTGCTTGCTAACCCAGACATAGTTGATGAATCCATGGTAAGCCAGCTTACCCCAAGGACTTCTTTCACTTGTAGGCTTGGCAGTTGTATTCTTCCACATGTATTTGCATTAGCTCAAGGACACTCCTTTTGCTCCTTCACACATAATGCTTGCCTTTGCAGTTTAGATTTATCCATTTTTGAAGTGGCCTTTACAATATTGGCAATGCTAAGAAAGAAAAAACATATGCTGTGCTTACCTTATTGAACAAAATTTCGTCAGGAGCATAGATTTTAACTGTCCAATGGCCCAGAGGCTGGAACATTCACCAAAGTAGTAGAAAAGGTGATGAATTTTAGTCCCTGAACTACAGCGTTCAAAGTCTCATATTTTACAGGGATAATTTTACTGGGATGGAAAGAAAAAAGAGTAAGAGTGAGAGTGAGCAATGATGAAGGCACCTTAGAGGAGAGAATTGGGTTCTGTTCCTTACACCACTGAACATTGATTTATTTTATCCTGTAATTAATTCATGAATCACTGGATTATTTATGAAATGACAGTACTTCCCAGGTAACAGTCAAATCACTGCGCCACAGAGTTATGTTAACTTCTTCCCTCTCCCCTACTTAACTGTTTGCGGAAAAGTGGAACATTCCAAATAACAAAGGTTTACCGTGAGGTCCTGCAGTTTGGACTGATCTCAGGAGATACATCCTTGGGATTTTCTTGGATGAAGAATCTACAGATTGTGCCTGGATGCTCTGTTTTGCTTTAGTGAATAAAAGTGCCCAGACTCCTTCCTGTCATGCCTTGAAATAACCTGCTTGCTTTTTGAAAGGAGATGTTTGAGAGTCTAATTCCAGAAGCAAAGTCAGGTTGGTGAATTCTGGGGCAAGACAAGGAGTCTATTTCTGTGCCCACTTTTTCCTTATTGGTCACATTAAATAGTTCCCCAAAAGTCTCAGTTTCCATTATTTCCTTGAATACTCTGCACTGTACAGGCCTTTGCTGGGTCTTACCTCCAGACCATTGCCACAGCAGCTTTGTTCTGAGTTTTTCCTGCAGACAAAACCCACAGTGCTGCTTTCACTGCAAATGCCACAACGAGATGATTTTGACCTTTCGTGAAATTTATTGTTTATAATTTTTAACGTCCTTTGGTTACTACTAAGCCTAATTGAATCCAGAGTCCCAAAGAACAAATGCTCCTTAAGCTACTAAATACTTCCTTGTCCCATCAGCTCCAACCTGGATTATTTTTAAATTGTTCACAAGTAAAAGGAAATGGTTGCCCTGTAAGATCAAGAGGACAAAGAGTTAAGTGAAGTGTGACAAAATATGACAGACTCTAAAACACTCTTGATTCATTCCTACTTCAGATGTGTTTCCAAAGGATCAGAATAGCACATTAATCAGAAATAGTGTTCTCTAACTTTTTTATTTCTGTTACGGAACTGACAATCTATTTTAAAAAAGCTATTAGTGCTTAAATGCACTTTTAAACCACGTTAAATTTATCATAAGAAATATTTTATTTGGTGTTAATACTTTCCTTCAGAATTTAGGAGAAAACTGAATTAGTATCCTTTCCTAGATTCACTTTCTCTGAAGTCTTTGAAAGAACTGGTCTTCAATAATGCCCATTAAAAAAACATCAGGCCCCAGGGCCTGAAAATTAATAATAATTATTATGATTGTTCTTCTTATTGTTATTACTATTATTTTTCATATTTATTATAATATTTATCCTACTTATTATTATATTTGTTTATTGACTTTTCATTTTTGAGCCCTTGAGTCATGTATGCTTCATGCCACAATTCTCAAGCTTTCATTGCAAGTCTAATAAAGTTTTAAAATGAATGCTAAGATTTTCACTTACTTTATAATCATAGTAATTATGGCACTAATAAAAAATCCAAATATTAACATGAAACCACATGATTTGGCAATGCTCAGTTTCTCTACATTGTCCCACATTGCCTATATAGTTTAATATTGTTTTTAAACCTGAACCTGCTCCTTCTTTTATTTGGAGCTTTATTATTAACTGCAACAGCAACAAGGTCAGGATATACACCATGGATTGCACTTGTCTTTCTTTTCAAGAATTTGTTGAGAAGACATGAAAAGCCATCCATGCTTTCTCACCTGTATGTAACACCACAGCATTCCTCAAGCATCCATCCTTTTGTAGCAGCTTTTCTAAAGGAAGAGGATATGTAGAAGGAAAAACAGAATGCAAAAGGAAGACATAGCTCTTCCCCCTAGTGAAATACTGTGCTTTGTCATGGACCAGTGGCCACTAATTGCAGTGTAACCAGAATCAGGAGCTGGCCAAGGGTGTGTTTATATGTTCACAGAGCATGGTGAAAAGCTCTGGAACTGAGGAGTTGCCGCTGGAACCAAAAGCAACATAGCTAAGTTAGCATTCTTCTGTTTCCATGCCAATCGGTCCTGCTGAAAGGACTAATTAACCTGGAAGGAGGTTAAAAATAATAACAACTGTGCTGTCTTCATCCCAACCAATGTTTTACACAGAGTACCACAGGTGACAGCTCTCACTGTACATCCCTTTGGTACCAGTGTCGTTTCCCTTCATTACTGTCCCGTGGGACAAGCGCAGTTATACACATGTTTAAGCCAGTGGAGGTTTTGCCTGGCAAAACACGTCCATCTCGGTCTGTATCGTGTGCATCCTCGCAGGCACGGCTCTAGGGAGCCCCAGGCCCGGCACCTGTACACGCACACCACCCCCCCGGCTGTAAGGGGACGGCTTGAGACCCTTGCAGGGCAGGGCAAGGCAGAGCACGGCTCCCAGGCCAGCTACCTCTCTCTCCTCTGCGGCCTCCTCTGGGCACCGCTCCCAGGATGCGCCAAGGGCCAGCTGGGCTCAGTCCCCCAGCCATACAGCAGCAGGCCAAGGGGCAGGGGAGGGCAGCGGCACGGCGCCGGGAAGCCCCGTCTCACACGGCTCCAGGGAGGATGCCGTGGGCTGCCCTGGCCCCGCAGTCCCACTCCTACCCCGGGGATCCCCTCGCCCTCCCAAGGAGATGAGCCCGGCTGCGGGGGCTGCACGGGGATCCCTCCGGGAGGGGCCGCGGGGCCGGCTCGTGGCGGCGAGGCGGGCGTGCCCCGAGGCGGTTCCCGGGGAGCCACCGCCCCTTCCCGCGCCCCGCTCCCCCGGCGGCTCACCTCGGGCTCTCCGCCGGGAGGGACGGTGGCGCCCTCCCTCCCGTCCCCTCCCCTCCGCTCCCCTCCCGGCTGGCGGGAAGGCGGCAGGGCGGGCGACGGCGGGCGGAGGGGAGGCGGGCGGCCGGGCTCCGGCGGAGGGCAGCTTCCTCCGGGGCTCGGCGGCGTCCGGCCGCGGGGCGGGCGCAGCCGGGTGCGCGGGCGGCTCCCGCGGGCCGGGCGGCGGTGCTGGGGAAGGGAGTGGGTTTTGTTTTTTTTTTTTGGGGGGGGGGCGGGCGAGGTGGTGGAAGAATAGGGGCTGTCGCCTCCGCCTCCTACTCAGCGGCAGCCGGGGCAGCCGGATCGCGGCGGCGGCGGCTGCTGCTGCTGCGCGGAGGGACCGCGGAGCGGAGGGATGTGGGGCTTTGGGGGAGGCAGGATCTTCGGGATCTTCTCCGCTCCCGTCCTTGTGGCCGTGGTCTGCTGCGCCCAGAGGTAGGAGTCAGCGTGCCCCGGCGGCGGTGCGGGATGCGTTTCTCCAGGGGAACAAGCTGATGCGCTCCCCCCGCCTTCCACCCCCCGCCCCGCTCTCGCCGTCACCCCTGGCCCTCCGCACCCCGTCCTCTGCCTCGCCCGCCCGACACCCCCGTCTCTCTCTCCCCACAGTGTGAACGATCCCGGCAACATGTCCTTCGTGAAAGAAACTGTGGATAAATTGTTGAAAGGCTACGACATCCGCCTCCGGCCGGATTTCGGAGGTGAGTCGCCCTGCCCGGGCTTGCGGCCCGGAGACAACCCCCCCCCCCCACCGCTGTCCCCGGCGCTGCCGCCGCTCCCGCACGGCGGGGCCCGGTCCCGCGCCCCCGCTGCCGCGGCACCTCTCGCCGCCGGGTAAAGGTTTCGTCTGCTCGCAGGTCCACCCGTCTGCGTGGGGATGAACATCGACATCGCCAGCATCGACATGGTTTCCGAAGTCAACATGGTGAGTAGCGGTGGAGCCCGGCCGGGGCCAGGGCTGTCGCCCGGCGGGTCACGGCTACCCGTTCCCCGTCCCTCCCTTCGCATGAAGTCGCTGGTGCCTCGGCGGGCGGCGGCGGGGCTGCGCGGGTCACCGAATGCTGCCCTCTTCCCTTGAAAACTTTATTTCCCTGGAGACGCGCTTTCCCCTTTCCCCCCTTTTCCTCTCTCTCTGCTGGCGGCTGCCTCCGCGAGTGTGCCGGGCCGCCGGTTTCCCCCAACCTTCCTCCTCCTCCCCCTCAGCCCCCCGGGCGGCCGGAGCTTGCTGGGGCTCTGCCGGCACCTGCCGCGGCCTGGCAGCCCGCGGGATGCGGAGCGGAGTGGGGCGAGCCGGCGGCCGACGGGGTTTTCGGGGCCGGAGGGCTGCGGCTGGAGGCATCTCCCCGCGGGTCAGGGGAAGAAAACAGCCCAGCTTGTCGGTGGGTAAACTCTGACATGTGCAAGTGCTTTAAGGATAGCTGAGCACCCAGAGCCGGCGCGGTTGTGTATGGACTTCGGAAGAATTGCAGTCTTGCCTCGGAAAGTGGTGCTGTGCGGGTCTGTCGGGTTCACCGATGAACAGGGAGGTCTTTAGGGCATTTCTGCGGTTTGGTCGTCCTGTCTGTATAGTTTGGTGATTCGGGGTTAGGAGCTACAATTTCTATTTCTTGTCCTAATCCTAAATCTGAGTTGCGTTTTCCATGTTCCTGAGCAAATTACTAGTCGCTGTCTCAGTTTTTTTCTTGTATTCTTCCTTTTGCAAACCTGATGTAGAAAGACCAGCCTACTCTGCAATGCTATAGTTACATTTATGGTGTTAAACATAATAATTACACGTTTGGGAGCTGTGCTCTCTTGTAGTAAATATGACACACTACACTACACCTCCTTCAATGCACTGTTGTAGTGTTACAAGCTGGCATAGCTTGGCTTTATACATGATCTGTGTATTTTCATTAATCCTGACCTTTCTTTCACCCTCTTTACCTGAAATTCTGAGGAACTTTTGCTCTACTTCTCATCTTTTAAAAAATTATTTTTAAAAGAGGGTACAGTTGCCTGTTTGCAGTTGAAAGTGTCACCAGCGCCAGCATTTCTACTCATTCAGGAGGGAAAAGTGAGATAGTTCTTACTTCTAAGAGTTTGTTTTAGGCTTTCTGCAGATTCAGGCAACTTCAGAGACATCTCGTGTATTCGACAGGCTTTTCTATACCTGTAAAATTGCTTCTCAAATAAAAAAATGGAAGCAGAATGAGAGCTTCTCATTGAAGAGTAATTAAAAAGTCTGACTTCACTATCCCCTCTGCCACCTTTCCCACCTTTGGCTATGCTCCAGACTTAGGGAAGCATTGCATGACTCATTAAATTAATATATAGCACTTTGTGTATGTAAAGCGCCACTTAGGCAATAAATATCATAGAAAGGCATACTGAGATTGGAAAGAAAATGAGGCGATGTATGCTGGTTTTTGTGCCCTTTTTTTTTCTTTTTTCCCCTAGCTGTGGGAAAGTTTGTTAGTTTTGAATAACAACTTGTCCAACCCACTGTAGCAGGGATACAAGAAAAAGTAAGTAATTGCACTGCTTGTTATGCTAGGCTGGGTAATTAGATCTTGAATGATACGGGAGCTCCTCAAGAGGATGGGTACCATCTCTTTCCCCCAGACAGGAGCCAGTGTACCAATTGCTTAAGTTTCTAGCTGCTGCACAAGTCGGTGTCCACTGTTGCCCATTAGTTCCCAGAACAGCTGAAGAGAAGTGTTTTTTCCTGTGTCCTCTCATGGGGCAATGCTAAGTCTGAAAAATATCAATACAGATCTTGCAACAGAAACAAATAATGTGTTTCTGAAGGGAGTTGCTAAAGTACTATTGTTATAAAAATTGTGCTAGTTTACTTTAGGAAAAATGAGGAGGAAGGGTTTCTGGTTGGTGAACACTATTGCAACCAGAATTTCATCTGAGCTTGTCTCGTTTCCCTGTGAAAGAACTCATCTTTGACCAAGCGCAGCTATATTCAAGTAGTGCCTGAGTTGATTACTTTCACTTATTTTAAGTTGCTTTATACCAGTCTGCAAAGATTCTCGAGTAAATATCAATGAATAGTGAATAAGAATGAACAGAAGGAGCTTTTCAAGATTACTCAAGCATATATTCTAAGTAGTAATTTGGAGGGGGAAAAAAGTCACAGTTTGAAGACCAGAAGCATAGCTGTTGAACTTCATGCTTGTTGCCAACTAAACTTCTAATATTTGACGTGCTGTTTCATTTAATTCCAAGCAGATATTGTGAGCATTGACCTTTAGCCTCATCAACTACTGAAACATCTTACGAGAATTTCTTTGTGTGAACTGTAGTGTGGACATGAATTCCTTTGATTTAAATCTAGACCTTGGTGTAACCTTTTATAAATTGGCTTGTTAAAATTCATCTCTGTATTAAAAATAAAATAACCAGAGATTGAACATTCTTCAATTTTATGTGCATAAATAAAATGTTATTACAGGAAGTTTTATTATGCTGCCTTCGAAGCAGCCAGTATTGTAGCTTTCAGTGATATGATGACAATTCTTTGTAAGAGGAATTACAGCTTGTATCATACTCTTTTCTATTCTTAATCAAACTGTAGATTTATATATAATATATTCCTCTATGAAGCTTCAGTAACTAGTTATTCATTTAGCTTTCCAGAATTTTAAAAATTTGTGTAGTTTTAGCCTTTCTGTTGAAAATTACTGAAAATTCTTTGCCCTCTACATCCAGGATACCTGTACTGTTTTTTAGAATAGACTTATTGAATCGCAAGTATCAGGGCTGCAGAGCATTAAGTTGTTTTACTGAAAAGTTGTAAATAAGCAGTTTCTACTGGTTCTCATAACACCTTGAAAGTATCGAGTAGGGTTATTGAAATCATTACTCTGCTACATTATTTACATCATACTGAAATTACTAAACATGTCTGATGTAAAAATCATATGCTTTGATATTTATACTTCGAGTTATTAATCCCCTCTTGCTACCATATATATAAATTTGCATGTAAAAAGTGCATTGCTCAGGGAAGGGCTACATCTGTTAATGACCTGCACATATGTGTATATGTATATCTCAGTATGTGCATTACTTCCCTGCTTTACCTGTACATGGTTTCCCATTATTATTTACCTATTTCAAAAATTATATCTGTAGTTGGATACTTAAGCACCTATCTATTTTTGTGCCCACCTCCAATAACTGCATTTAAAATAGTTGTAAATTGTACAGTAATATACATCTTCAAAGAAAATATTAATCAATAACAACAGATGTAATACTGAGAAAATACTGTAAGTCATCATACAAATAAAGAGTATGGAAGATTATCGTTGTCAGATTTCAATAATTTAGCTGTATAGTTTATAATTTTTCATGATTTGGGCTGATTGTGTTCTGTTCTTGCTATGTTTTAGATGTTTTACTTAGATTATGTGAATTGAAAAAGAAACAGTTATCATGCTTTTTACTATTCTGTCATCCTGTTTTCAATCAGATAGTGTCCACAATTTGCAATTTTTTTGTGGTCTGATTGTTGTTCAACATTTGATCTGTGAATCAAATGCATTAGTTCCAAGTATACAATTTTCAAGCACCCAAATACTTCCATATCTTAGGAAGTTAAATAATCAATGTATTGAATCTCCAAATAACCCCTCTTTAAAGTTATTATTATAGCTGGAAGACTAAGGTAGTGTGCTTTCATTTTACTATAATTTTAGAATGTTTATTAAAGTTTATAAAGTGGATGGAGAAAACAAAGGGATCAGTGCAAAAATGAACTTTCTCCTTAGAGATAGCATTTTGCATGTATGATCCCCTGTAAGAAAGGACACCTGTGCTACTGCCCTCTGAAGTGCAGTCTGCATTCTTTTTGTGTATGGAGAGGACTTCAGAGCTGTTCATCTAGGTTTCTCAAAGGCTCTAATTTTGATAAAATGAAACCAGCAGAACCCAGGAGACATCATCTGCTATATAGTCATGCTGCTGTTTTGAGAATACTGTACTCAGAAAATTAGTTTGACATAAAGTCAGACCATAAAATTGATGAGTTGCTGTTTCTGAAAAAGATGTAATCTGTTCTATGCTAACACTGAAAAAGACATAATCTGTTCTATGCTAACACCGTAACTTTTTTATTTTTATGTATGTGCCTTTTAAAACTGCAAGTATACATATGGACTTCATTGGGTGCCTGCTGATTTTCAAAGCAATTTTGACACCTTTCTGACAAACTGTTTTAGTTGCTGCTCTAAGGTCAACCGAAGTTACTACTCACTGAGACTAGGTAGTTTTTATTTTCCTTGGATAGTGATACACAAATAATTATTTTTAGCTGAATTAATTCATACTTCACCTGAAGTAGTGAGGGTGCAGAACCATCATGTATCTATTGATGAAATCTATCACATCTTACTTTAGATGTGTAAAAATTTTAATGGATTTGGTTGATGTAAATTGAGGTGTATACAATTAGATGTCTGAGTGCGAGCTGGATTGCTAAACTCTACAGCTGCAGTTAATGGAGATCCAGAACAAAATGGGGATGCTTGTGCAAAGGTGTCTACTGTCATTTCGGTTTCACGGTATCATACTTGCCCTCCGGTTTCCGGTCCAGGTTGATGCAGATCTCTTGCAAGTCCTCTGCCATGTCAGTGTGTCTGCATGCTAGAGAAGACACCAGTTCCTGAAATTTAAACAACTGAGTCTTATTCTTGTCAATACAGGTGATGGAGTCCGGAGAGCTACTGAGCTTAAAATGTAGAAGACACTTTAGTAGTGCTTCTTAGATATTTTAAGTGCCTCAAAGTATCTTGTTCGGATTCCAGCTGTCTCTCTGGAAGGTTAAGGACTCACATGGTTCATGTTCTATGTCTGCCAGTCATATGCAGGGGTCCTGCATAATCCAGGCATCCAAAATGGCACCAGACATCCTTGCTTAGGTAAGTGAATTGTTCCCTAGATGCATAGGCTTATCCTTCAGGGTCCCTCTGGAATCAGAAGGAGATAGTCATTATTTTGTAATTTTTATCTTAGATGTCTATGTGGTTGTTACTTTTAAGATGGAAAGATTAATCTTTTTGGGGGGTGCGCCTGTTTCCTGAATAGCTATGGAGAGAGCCAAGGCAACTCGTTTAGTTTTTTGAGTGACTGCAGCTAGGCACAGTGAAATGTAACCTGTGTTTCCTGTCGTAAATGTATCTTCTATTTCCTGCCATAAACAGATACTTTCTAAATACTTTGCAAACAGAATCTAGAAGTTACCTCATGCAGGAAATCATAACCGAGTTGTGACATACTTTGCTTTGAAGATTCAGATGCAGAAATTAAAGGAGTTGTACTAATAAAATGGTTCCATAATCACGTTGCAAGCAGGTTTTCTAGCTAGAAGAAGATTCATATCTGCAGTGCTTATAACTAGTTCACAAACCACATGAGTATAAAATAGAATATGTAACTTTATATTCTGATTTTGCTTTTATATGTATTTAGGGACAATAGAAGATCATACTGTGGCAGATAGACCACGTACATAATTTTGTGTATGTGTGTATATGTATATGTATATACACACACACGTATGTTTTTGATAGATAATACAGGAAAAAAAAAAGGAAGAAGAAAGAAATAGTGCCCAAGCAGGGAAGCATCTCCTGAGACCAGCATAACCCTGCAAAGAGTGCTGTTGCTGTGCTGGGGATGAGCCAGCACCCATCCTCTAGGAGACAGCAGCAACGGGCACTTATCCTGGAGGGCAGTCTATCTTAGCAGTTTACCTGCTCTCTGGTTGCCAGCTGGTCACAGGAGCATCCATCCTCTGCCTTGTCCCCATCTTGTTTTTCTTCCTCAGGACAGTACCCATGAACTCCCCCAGCCTGCCTCACTGTCTTTCCATCCCTGTCATGTTTCATAGTTCCTACTGACAGAGAGAGAGAAATGCTTGTAGCAGATGGTGTGATAGGAGAACGACTCCTATTAGGCCAAGGGAATTGATGACAGGCTTCTGCTTATCTGCAGTGGAAAGCAACTACTCTGAAGGGGAAGGAATACCTGCTTATGCAGAGACAGGGAGGTAGACAGGGAGGTAGTTAATGTTGCTGGGAGGTGGAAATAGACTATTTAAAAGCCAGCTCCAGCTGCCAAGGTTGAATCATCTGGACTTGGATGATGAAATAGATACAATCTATGATGATATCAATCTGAAATAATTGCAAACATTTCAGGGGACAAAAAGAGATTCAAAGTTATGTTTAAAAATTAGAGGAATGGCCCTGAATAAAGAAGAAGCAAGCGCAAAGTGCTGCGTTTTATAAGGAAGGAAGAGCCCAGTATTTAAAATGATAAAGATTTGGTTAAGCAGCAGGACACTAAGAAAAGGATGTAGAGGTTTTACTCAACCAGATTCTGAAGCAAGTGAAAAAGTCACAAATGCAATATAATTGAAAAAAGATGCATCTGACTCTGGGGCACATAAGTAGAAGTGTCATTCACAAGACGCAGGGTTTTCTCTATCATTAGATAAGCCTAAGCAAGAATGCTGTGTCCGGTGTTTCTGCAATGACTTTCAGGGAGATGGAAACAAACAGAAGGTGTAAAGAGGGCAAGAAAATGTTTCTAATTAAAATAATTACAAAACAGGGCATATCCAGTGATGTTGAAGTAAATGGATTTGTTTAACACTGAAAAACAAGATAGAGAGGGCATAAATTTCCCAATATGTAGGACGCTGGTGGTGAGAGAAGGATGATCAGCTGCTGTTTAGAACCAGTTGAAGTAAGACCTGAAGAAATTAATTAATTGATTTCGGAATGGTTTTCATCTAGCTATGTTTTTGGTAGCATCTCCTTTGTTGCAGGTTTTTAAGAAGAGATCTGATAAATAACTCTTCCCAATGGTGTTGCTTTTGCATTTGGAGACGCTGGGCTAACTAATGCTCTGAGATCTTCTCCAGCACCGTATTTCTGTGAATCTCTGCTCTGATTTAATTATTATTTCTGTCAGTGCTCACAAGCACTTCTTGATGTGGTTTCAGATGCCCCAGCTGGTGTCATGCTGATGCCACAGAAGATGAGAAGTTTCCCATCCGTCATTTGTATAAATGCCAGTGTCAGAAGTATATGCCTTGCTATCTGAGGCATCATTAGTTATCAACATTGTGTATGAATCCTCATTGTGTTCTCAGTACCTTTGCATTGATTGGAATAAATGTCACATGTATGTCCTTTCAAATATCCTGGTCTTAAAAGAGTTGTAAACTACAAGGTCAGGACTTCTGTGCATGTAACCATGAGAAGATTTTTGCTTCTGCTGAAAGACTTTCATCATGCCTAGATAATGAAGAAGTACACTATTTTAAGTTAACAGGAGTGGAAAATTCACAGAAACTTTATGGATTTATACTTACTATATGCCTAGCAATTTTTTTCCATTCCCTTGAAGACAGAAGAAAAGAGAAAAAGAGTGATATTTATATGAAGCTTTTTATTCAGGCACTATATTCTTATTCAGATAATTTAATGTCTGTAGTCATACAGAAAGATTAGCAATTTGATAAAGGTAGGCAATGTCATGCTTGGCAGAAGAGAACGTGCAAACACAGAAACATCCATGATACATGTAGACTTGAGGTCCACAGAGCCAAGTATCCTGACTCTGCTACTGCCTGGTAGTGGATGCTTAGGGAAGAAAACAATGAACAGGTGTTAATACTTCTCTAAGTATAGTTTTGCAGTCTCCAGTAATTTGTCACTTGAGACTTCCTAAGTCTCAAGGCTCTCAGAGAGAGTACTCTTCTTTAGGTGTCATTAGGGCATTGGGATGATTTAGAAACAATACGCTTTTCTCCATAGTTCCCCTTTTAATAAAGATATGATTATATAAAGAATTTAAACTTGGGTAGTATCAAGCGCAGTCCATCAATACTGAAGGATAATAAAAACTTCCAGTGAAAGAGGTTGAGCAGTATTTAGCTACGATTAGGGTTTTAGCTTATCCAGGACAAACTTTATTTTTCTCCCCTGTGACACAGAATCATAAAAAATAGCTGGAAGAAGAATAATTTCAAAGCGACAGTTCATTTAATATTTGTAATTGAATGTCATAGTTCCTCATAACTACAGATACTGCAAGGAAAAAATCCCCAAGTCTGGGTATGTCTAATTCATTATTCACTGTTACAGATTTGAACCAGTAATTTTGGGAAAATAATTTGTTCTCTCAGCAGTTAGGAGCTGGTTACAGGTCGCTGTGATAATGTAACCTGCAATATGAATGTAATATTGCACACAGCAGAGAGGGAAGGTAAAACAGCTGTGCTGGGAGGTCTGCA